GCAGTATGGTGTGAATACCCACACGCGAGGTGGCCAATCAACTGAAACTTCTTCCACAGTATTTTCAAGTGGTACTATGTAATTACTTTGTACTTTTAACTTTCTAGTCTGTGGATGGACCATTCAAATGACACCTCTCTTGTATGAATCTAGCAGTACTTACGCATTGTACCATTGATTTTTCTCCATTCGTGTGAGGTCCTATCTTTTCTTTGACCAGTTTTGATCAGAAAATTAGTATTTATTTGATTTGTTTTATTTTTGCCACAGGCAGTGTTTCGGCGAAGGCCTCAACTGGGCCGGTTGTACACTCATCGCTTTACTAGGACAGGAGAATCGCTTTGAAGCGTTAGACTTCTGCTATCATATCGTCAAAGTCTATGCAGTGGACGCCAGGGATGAAGTCATCGGTGGAGTGGTCAGTACCTGTACACCCGTGGAGGCGGGGTGGAGGGGTACTCCGTACTCCGGATTTTAAGTGTTGGGGATGATCGAATGTGGGCAAAAATCAAAACCCAAAAAACTCCCTGGACCAAAAACTTAACCCCAAATAAATCCCATGGCGAATTCCGATACTTGTACTCTATTTGGTTACTCTATTCGCAGAACTACGCGGCCGGAATACACGTGCACTATCACGAATCTTCAGTTTTTTTTAATACCCCAAAAGTCCCTTCTTAAATCAAGCCACTCAAAAACAAATACTTGTCAAATTTTCCTATCAAAAACCCCCACAAATCCTTCGATCATCCCCGTCACTTGAAATCCCGAGTACCCTCCCCCCTCCCCCCTCCACCTCTGGGCATGTACATGTGGCAATTCTCAACCGCCAAAAATATATTTAGCCTAAACCAACAAGAGCAAAGACTCAACAAGGCTGATAAAGAGGTTGTTGATTCCTCATACGATGCTGAACTTTTTGTACGGTGGGAAAGTGAGAGGTGCGGGGTTACAAGATATCAAAATGTAATTTAGGGTGTGTTTTTTGGGAGAATCTTAAAAACGGATTTGTGATCTCAGATCTTATAGATTCTTCACAACCAAAGAAACGGAAAATCCAAAACAGATCATCTACCATGACAACGGCATGCCCTCGTGCTCCTTTTAGGAAAAAAAACAACACACTGATCCTGGCGGCAAAGACAGGAAGAAAAATAAAAGCAACATAAGCTACCTATGAATATACGAAATGTATAGATTTCGGTGTGAAACACAAACGTTTCTCGAATAGAATACACTCTTAAGATAGTAAAATTATAAGAATCAAAAACTGAAGCCAATGAACTTTTTTTTTCCTTTTTTTTTACTTGGAAAATAAACTGGCGTAAGCAGTCACTACATAGGTGCAAAAAAACATGACGAGTAAGGATTTCAAAACATTCTACGAATGTAAACAGCAAACATGGAATGATACGTAACTAATGGCTAAAAGTTAAGACGCCAGCAACATAGGTTCAGTTAGGATGTAATACTTGTACGGCATCTGTTGTGTACCGTTTTTGTTCGGAAAGCCGCTGGACAAAAATACTTGTTTCAAATTGTGAATCTCAAAAATGCGGATTTGGATTTGATCCGAAGAATCCACCCAGGGTGTGGATTCTATGGATTCATGGTCCGTTTTTGGATTTGCCCAAAAAAAGGTAAAATCCGTTTTTGGATTCGGAAATCCGGATTTGGATTTTTCCAAAAAAACGCACCCTAAGTTTGCTACCTCTCATTAATATTCTTAGCAAGTAAAAATCATCCTTTGTGGGATGACACCTACCATTCTACGGTGGCCCAGAAGGATCACACATGCAAATTAAAAATGTTACTGCAAATTAAAAATATTACCTGCAAATTAAATATAGTACATGCAAACTAAAAATTGTGCTGCAAATTGAAAATAGAAAATATATCGATGCAAATTAAAAATGAAAAGTCCTGCGCGCGCAGTATGAGTGATGAGGACCTGGTCCGAGCCGTGCGACCTGGCCTTACAGACGTCGGCCCATTCATTTTTCATTTTTGTAATATTTTTAGTTTGCATGTACAATTTTTAATTTGCAGGTCCTATTTTTAATTTGCAGTAACATTTTTAATTTGCAGGTAAAATTTTTAGTTTGCAGCAACATTTTTAATTTGCATGTGTGACCCTTCTGGGCCACCTTACCATTCTGAAGAATCTTATTTTAAAAATTCATTACCAGTAGGGAAATTTAGTACCCTAATGATTAGGCCACGCCCCCTCCCAACATAAAATACCTTTATAATGACATTACTTTTCTTTCTTTGGAGGTTTGACAGTGTAGTGAACTGAATGCAGAAATTTAACCTGCGAGCACCCAGAGGCGGCGAAGCGTCTTGAAACGTTGGGGGGGGGGGGTCATCTTTCACTCAGCCATGTGCCTAGCGCTACTCAAAAAAAAGCAGCAGCACCTGATAGGTTTTCAAGAATGTTAGTTTTCTAATCCAGTTGTTTCCTTTGCAGGATCTTAAGCGTCTAGTAAGCAGAGCACGTCACTTCAGAGTACTGAATGACCAAATATTCGCAGTGTTGAACAAGCATCTGAAGACCTCTGAAGGACCAGTTGAACATGTTCGCTGCTTCCAGCCGCCTATTCACCAGGCGTTTGTTTCTCCCATCTAATACAATGTGGAGAACTCCAACAGCCTTTAGTAACGGTTCAACTGAAGCAGATAGATTGTAGAACCAAATGTAAAGAAATTATTGGGTTATATATTTTGGGGGGGCGTATTCAGTCATTCTTGCTGCAGATTCGGTACGTTTCAGACCATTGTCCATGTTTGATCATTCTAACTCTGTTTTATGAAGCAAAGATATCACAAGGAACATTTTGAAGCTGATTGCTCTTACGACTTAACTGGTTAAAGAGGGGTCGTGTCTCATAGGAGATTTGCTGCCTGCAAAGCTTGTAAAAATGTCGGTATTCATGCGGTAATTTGGCCGGAAAGTGATCTTTTTATTGGGCTATTGCCTTTCTTTAGGGATAGGGTAAAAAAATGTTTGATTCTTTGGGGGTGAAGCTTTAATTTTCACGGAATTCTTCAGTGGTAGGACCTATATTCCTCAGGGGTAAACCCATATTTTATGAAAGTCTTCAGAGGTGAATGCAATGTTAGTCAATCTTAAGGGGTAAGAAGAAAATTTAAGTCCTCAACCGGGGAGTACGCATATTACTAACTGCAATAGCCCATTACAAGAATGTCAGAACCCTTTAAACCGTTCTGGTGGTCTTACTTTTCATTGTAAACTGTAAGGATGATTCGGGAAGCGAGGTTTAACTTATATAACTTATATTAGAACTTATATCTCTTGAAATACACGTCCTCGTCAAGACCACGCTTCTGAGTAAGTTGCGTAATCCCCTTATGCTCCAAGTTTCATTAATTGGCGCGTAGTAGCCTTTAAGAGTGCTTGAACTACAGTTTCTTCTGACCTAACTAGTAATTGTAAGATTGGCGCATAAAAGACTGTCCATGGTTATGAATAGTCAACCCTAGCTCACTCTTTAGCTTCCTTATTTTCTACCAGATCGAAATGTGTTCGCTTTTTGGTAAAGGCTTCATCTAAAAATAAAGCCTTTGAACAAAGAGGACTATCCTCACTTGGGTCAGTGTAGACAGGTATATACCAGTGTAAATAGAATGAAATATATTTTGTATTATTTTCACTTTTTTGTAATAAAAAGCAAGGTCTAAATTTCTGTGCATCTGTCTATTTATTTTCATCAAGAAAAGTATAGACTATGCATCAGTTTTAATGGCGAAAACAGCTCTTGGGTTTGAACTTGCAAATGAAAGAATGATAATTTTCTCGTACATTGCCGTGTCCTTGATAATTCCTCTGCTTGCTAGTATCCTTTGCACCCTTTTTTTTTCGCAAATATGTGTTTCGTGACTTCTTGAAAGCCATAGCGTGATTCTGTGACTGATCGCGTGACTATTATACTCTTTGGGCGAGTGGGGACTGTGCACACAATTTATTCTAATGTCAGTCGGTCAGTGATGATGATGGTGATAACGATATTAATAACAATAATAATAATAATAATAGTAAAGCGTGAAAAGCCCTTAAAACATCTGCGTGGGAGGACACGTTACGCGAGACTGTCGCGAAAGGGTTATGAGTGTTATAAAAACTTTGCACCATGTTGTAAACGAAAAGCGCTACAAAGAGCGATTACGGTCACTTCACGAAGAAGAATTCGACCATCATCGAAAGAATCCAAAACGGCCAGGATTAACTTATTCGGGACAAGACAAAGCCGACTAATCCTGATTAGCATCTTTCGGCCTGAATTACTTGACCTTACTCGGTGTGTTCAAAAGAGTTTGTGTCAACAATACGCAAGATATTAAGCCGAAAGCAATACAGAATAACATATAGCATTATATGTAATGAACACTGAGACGGAGGTCTAAGATTTTTTCATTCTCTCTTGAGGGAAAGTATTCACAAAGAAAATTATTCGTACATTATAACATAGCATAGTGCAGCTTAGAGTGCCAAATGACAACACACGCATCGGCTCCGCTACCTGTAAACATACATGTTTTTGTTCGTTTATTAAGGGGTTTTTTGAGAAGTGGGTGTACTTGAAGAACCGGGCTTGAAGAATTCGTCATCGGCTATTTTTTTAGAGAGGAATGACTTCGAATGCCCTTCTATTCTCACTGTTATTCCATATTTGGTTCCTTCTGTAGGTACCGAGGAACAGATTGCGTAACACAAAAGAAACATTACAAACAAACAATAAAGCCCCCAGGTGAACTCTATTGTTTCGTTCGTTTGTTTCTTTAGTGATGACGTTACCCTTGGACGTTACACCTGTAGAAAGACCCCATATTTGGGCAAAAGCATTCCGTGCTTCTGATTGGACATCTGAATACCCCAGCATAAATAAATAAGAGCATGGTGATAAACTTCTGGTCAGTATACTAGTGATTGCGAAAAATCGAGGCAGTTTGACGTTCTGCAACAGTATCAGTGAACGAATATGTTCATCGAAACAACCTGGCAAACAACAAGACCCAGTGTAACAGGAAGAGTTACATTTCTGCTCAACAACGATCACTTGAGCGATGTCAAGTTTGTTGCTACAAACAGCAATGGCGAAAGTAAACAAGTGATTCCAGCTCACAAATTCATACTGGCGATTGGCAGTCCCGTGTTTGAAGCCATGTTTTACGGTGAGCTGGCGGAGACTAAAGACACTATTGAACTACCTGACTGTGATTACGAGAGTCTGTTGGAGTTGTTTCGCTACATTTACAGCGATGAAGTAAATTTGAGCGGAAGTAATGTGATGGCAGTGCTATACTTAGCAAAGAAATACATTGTGCCTTCACTCGCCGACAAATGCATGGAGTATCTGAATGAAAAGATAAACTCTTTGAATGCTTTCAGCATTCTTCCATGGGCACAAAAATATGAGGAGAAATCGTTGGTCGATCGATGCTGGAAAGTGATTGAGAATCAGACAGAAGCGGCTGTCGAATCGGAAGGATTTGAGACAATTGGCAGATCCTTACTTGAAGAAGTTGTCGCAAGAGACAATTTGTCGATCAAAGAGGTCATCTTGTTTCAAGCTGTAGATCGATGGGCAACAACACAATGCGAAAAGCAAGGTTTGGCAGAAGAAGGTCCAATTAAAAGACGAATCCTCGGTGAAGAAATGATAAAAGCCTTGCGCTTCCCGGTTATGACGGGAGAGGAGTTTGCTGTCAACATTGTTGATACGAACATTCTAACTTCAGATGAAGTAGTCACCTTGCTTAAGTACTTTATAGTACCAACTTCGCCCAGCCCTGTCGCGTTTTCCAAGACTCCGCGGGGGAAATTGACTCATGCTGCAGATTGCATGACCAGCTGCAGGTTTCCCACATGTACTCCGACATCGTGGAATTACCATGGAGAGCGCAGTGATTTGCTCTGCTTTTCTGTGGACAAAACCATTACATTACATGGACTCCGCCTATTTGGCAGTGAAAATAACAGCTACACAGTAACACTGAAAGTTACGGATACTGGTAGTAGAACAACTGTAGTATCCAAATCTGGAACATATTATCCAAAACTTTTGCACTCCAAACGTTTTAGTTATCATGGATTTGAAGTTATGTTCGACTCTGCAGCTGTGTTAAAAAACAACACAAGTTATCTCATTGAAGCATTGATATCAGGTCCGTGGTCTGGAAAAGGAGATAACGGGCTGGGTACTGTGAAAGCGTCCAGTGTTACGTTTACATTTTCTTCCGTATACAGGGAAGACAGCAACAATACAAACGTTAATGGTGGTCAATTTCCAGAAATTCTTTTTTCCCATTAGATATAGATTTAAACAGTATATCCCCAAACTTCAGGGGCACCCAACAAGAATATAGTTCAAAACCACTCAAACATAACATTGTAAACATGTTTAGTATTTAAACGGTAGATATAGGCATATTTTTATCCCCTAAAAATTTTTCATCTGTTCAGATTTGCTAGCCGAAAGTCTAGTAATCCGAAAATTATGGGGATCAAAACTTACCTTTTTGAAAATTTCAGCCAGAAAAAAGGCTCCCGAAAATTCTAGGTGACCTTTTTAGGGTAAAAGCGGTTAAAAATGGGCAATTATACCTAAAATCCTAGGAGAGGCAGGCAAGCAAGAAATTTTACAACAATGTTCCAAAAATTCTAGACCTCAAATTGTCTTCCGAACAGATATTTTCCCGAAAATTGATGTTGGGTGCCCCTGAAACTTCTAACCCTTGTATTATGAAGTGGACACGTTCAGTGTAAGGATCAACTGCACTGAACAGAAACACAGTATGAATTATCTTCAGAAACAAGCCAGATCAGCTGGCGATGATGAGGGTGATGGAAAAGATTCTCCTTCTTAGTTTTCCTTGGCATTATATATTAATCTGTTCAGTATAATCAAAATCAAAGTGATTTACTTCATAAAAATAGTTAAAAATAATAATTAATTGTTAAGTGATGGATAGGTAATATTTGATTACAAATCCCATGTTCGTATTATATTTAGGTTTAAGACCCATATGCTATTTTAGACTTAATTGTACCAAGGGGATCTTCCCAGAAAAGCTCAATAGAGCTAGTTGCCAAGATCTCCTGCCATTATATGCATAGCAGATAACAAGGAATGAAAAAATATGTTGCCTGTTTATAATAGCAGGATCCCAGGGAAACTGGAAGAATGCAGTGTGCTGGACTAGCCTCACATTGATGCAACAGGGCCACACCAATACATTCCGGAGTGTTATGACAGTTTTCAGGAGAAGTCTGTTCAGAAGAGTATATATACTGATGTAAATATAATGTAATAGATGTTTTCACGTTTGTGTAATAAACAGCAACTTAACTATACTGTGCCTGCTGTTTTTATTTTATTTGTTTCATATATTCATTCAGTTACTAATTCGTCAATGGCAAAGAACAAAAAAAGTCCCCCTTAGTACCATACAACCTACACAGCTAAAGGCACAAATTACAGTGTAACTATTGAAAACTTAAACAATTTAGTTCACTCGGATTTTAGGGAGTGTTCATTATTTATCCTTTTTTTGAGTGGGCGGGGGAGGGGGTTGGCTACGTCATGGGGGAAGAAAAGTTTGAGGTGCATTCTTCCGCTGGGGGGGGGGGGGGGAAAGGAGGGTTTTTTCATGTCCCTTGACAAAAATCTCAACGCCTATTTTATTAGCAACTTCTTTGAAATACTATCAAACAGCCTTTTCTTATCAAGCAAAATTACAAGTTTTCAAACCCAAAATATCAAATTTATAAAACAAATATATTTTTTTTTTGATTTATTTTTAAACTTTATTATTTGAAATTCCCCTGCAACCATCTTGCGGCGGTGGTTGTGGGGTGTTATTTATGTTGGGGTTGTGTGGGTGGGGGGGGGGGGGGGGGGTGGGAGGGGGGGGGGGGAGAAAGTGGTGGGGTGGTTTTGGCGGTGGGGGGGGGGGGGGTGACATGAAGGTTTTTTCATGTCACTTGACAAAAATCTCAACGCCTATTTTATTAGCAACTTCATTGAAATACTATCAAACAGCCTTTTCATATCAAGCAGAATTACCAGGTGTCAAATCCTAGATATCAAATTTATAAGAACAATATATTTTTTTTTTGAGTTAATTTGCAACTGCTTAAATTGCAATTACCACTGCAACTATCATATCTTCAGTTAAATTTGTATTTCTGCAGTTCAAATCATCTTCATTAATAATAGTTTTAGTTAATGTATTTTACAACACTTGAGCTTGAAGGCTGGAATCAAATTAAAAGGTGAAGAACTACAGTGCCCAGACACACTGTCATATGGATTGTTGTGAAATCGTATATTGCGTTACGCTCGTTTGTATTTTTGTTTAATTCGTTAATTTTTTACAAGTTTGACATATATCATTATTATCACAGTTGTCTAGCCTCGGAGTTTTTACCAGATCTAATAGGAGAGTTCAAGGAGTTTTTTACGGAGTTATTTCATTCAGTTTTTTCCTATTTTGTTGTTCCTTTCTTTAATACGCTTGGAGGAACTATAACGTAAGTTCTGTTTCATTTTTGTCTTTCATTTTAGGTTTGTTTTACTCTCGATTTCCTTTTAATTTTAGTTGTATTTTCTTGCGTAACGCGTGTCTATGTATGTTTTCAGTTCTCGCCATATGCTTCATTGATACTGCAATAAACGAACTTTAATCGAGTACGGAGCGTGTGGTTGATCACAGCGAACTCCACCCGTGGGAAAGCGACATGGATACACCCAGGAGATGATGGAGAAATATATACTAAAGTGCTAGACGTTTAAATTCAATTCGTTAGCTCAATAATCCTTACCAACCTTGTGGACTGACCCAAGAGTGCGGGTAACGCAGGAAGATATTGAATGGAGACATAATGGCACTGAAAGTCTACAAGAGAATAGTGGCAAAATCGGGGCAAACGGCGGAGAAGCCCGGGGGAGGGACTACGCATATGAAAGGGGTGGGGATGCTCGTCGTCTCGCTTAGGGGTATAAATTTCATATTTTGGTCTCACTTAGGGTGTTCTGGGCAAAACCCCATCATATTTAGCCGTGAAGGTCTCGTTTAGGGTCGCACGCGAAAAATATAAATAGATGTCATATTGTCTGTGTTTCAACATGGTCTCTTTTAGGGGTCAAAAAAAGCTTGGGCCACGCTCAGATCAGTCTCCTTCAGGGGTTTAATATAATATTTCCGACGAGCATCCTCACCCCTTTCATATGCGGAGTCGCCCATCCGGCGCCCCCCCCCCCCCTTCCCCTCCCCCCCAGGACGGGGAAGCTCCTGAGCTGTGTTGCTGAAGCATTTGGATTCCCTTCTTCTGATGACATATGAAAGGGGCGGACGGAGGATTTTGTGATAGAGGGGACCTAGAGAAATAGTACAGTGGCAATACGGGTGCGATAGCGCCCATCAGGACTGCGAACTGCGCACTCTTCTAGCAAGTTTCGGGCGCATGCTCTTTATGGAAAATTTTGACATTGAAGTTCTCTGAGATGCAATCTAGTGCATTCTGGACGCATAAATTTAGCAAATGCCTGGATTCCAAATTGAACGTGTATTAATGCTGAAATATTTAATAAACCACAGGTGTGGTTGCGGTCAAAGAAGTAATTAACACTTTATGATGCTAGCAGGGCTGAAGTAGTCTGCTACACAGCCGTTTTTAGTGTCGTCACGCAACGCTCTAGTGTGGAGGAGCGTTGCGTGACGACGCTAAAAACGGCTGTGTAGCAGACTAGGGCCGAAGCGATTGGGGCGAAAGTACAACCTCCCAGCAAAGACAACGTTCGATAAATTTTCTTGTTAACAATGTTTATGAAAGAAAATGTATTTAAGACACAAAGCTCGAAGTACCATCCTTCACACGTTTACAAAAGAAAAAAACTCCCGGACAAAAGCGGGGGCGGGTCCCCCTGGGCCCACCCCTAAATCCACCCTTGTTGTACCTCTTTGCGCGGGCGGGGTTGCACATTTTGCGGTGAAATCTTCGAGGGTTTACAAATCGCCGAAAAGTCAGGTCGTGTACTGCAACTTTGAACTTGCGACATAGACAATACAACCACCTCCGTTCTCAGCGCCAATTTTGTTTAAAGAAATGGGTTCTTTTATAGACCTTGTCACGGTTTTCGACGCCATCTTGACGAGTAGGCAAACGCGTGAGAAATTAAAGTGTTTGTATGAGAATCTAATTTCGAATAATTTCCGTAGAACAGCTGTTCTGAAAAAAATATGATTTGTAAACTAAAGCTTCACAATTTGAGGGCGTTACATGCACTAGAAGACCTAGAACCACTTTTTAAATTTCCTATACATTTGTCTCTAGGAAAGTCCCCGGAAAATTACAGACAAACATATGAAAAATCTAAAGCAAGCCTCTGGAAAAATTTAAGCACAGGTACGCCTCCAAAATTTTTTACGACAATCCTTTGCTTTGTAGCTTTAGTTTGCAATTGATATTTTTTTTCAGAACAGCCGTTTTACGGAAATTATTCGACATTAGATTCTCATTCAAACACTGTTATTTCTCACACGTTTGCCTACTCGTCAAGACGGCGTCGAAAACCGTGACAAGGTCTATTGCTGTAAGGTTAACTTCACGGCATGGTTGAAAATTGGGCTCCAGTACAGTGGAAATTACAAAGAAATTCAATTGGCTCTTGGTATTGTTTCATGTCTTCAAAAAAGTTTTAGTTCGACGCTCGAAATGAAGGCAATTGAGCAAGAACGATGGCTTCGTAATGACAATCACTGTTACAGTGCTGATCGTGTGTGAGCCCAGGCTGCCTTATGAAGGTTTCGTGACCTCTTATCGCGTGACGTATTTAACATGCGTTGATATTGCGCGTGTGCGGCTATCATTTGTTGCTCAACTCATGCTAGGGTGTAAAAGTTACTAAAAAGGCGAGATTTTTTGACTTCTTACTACAGTTTGACTAAACAAATATGTCTACCGAAACAAACTGGCAAACGACAAGACCCACTATCAGAGAAAGAGGCAAGTTTATGCTCAACAATGATCGCTTGAGCGATGTCAAGTTTATTGCTACAAAGAGCAATGGCGAAAGCGAAAGTAAGCAAGTGATTCCAGCTCACAAATTCATACTGGCGATTGGCAGTCCTGTGTTTGAGGCCATGTTTTACGGCGAACTGGCTGAGACTAAAGACACTATTGAACTGCCTGACTGTGATAACGGGAGTCTGTTGGAGTTGTTTCGCTATATGTACAGCGATGAAGTGAATTTCAGCGGAAGTAATGTGATGGGAGTGTTATACTTGGCCAAGAAATACATTGTGCCTT